AGGTCACAAATTTGATCAGATGTTCACAAATGTGACCGCGTGATTTTTGATAGAGTTTCCCCGATTTCTTAAATTTGAAAGTGTATCTTGAAACTATAGTAATTATGTATTTTTCCCACAAAGCTTTGGAGCATTAGACTGGAGACAATAAATTTGAAATTGAAGAATTGTGTCAGATTGCGGTCCAATTAGCTCTTTAATTAATTTGAATTTGACTCATAAATTTTATTCTTGTTAATTTTGTTGTTACATTAATTAAATTATGGATGAATGTCATTTATATAACATGTCATGTAGATAGCATATACACCTTTTATGTATTATACTGTCATGCATGATAAATAACATTCATCTCATTTATTGTATTTTTTAAAAAAAATTTAGTGAAGAAAAGATAAATGTTATTATCAATAAAGTTGGAGTACAATTTAATTTATGGAGTACAATTTAGTTAACAAAAGATAACGTTAAAAATAATAAATGAGTGAGAGTACATCTCTTTTGAATCCATAGCCTCCCCTGTTAGCCCATTAGCAAGGTCCTTTGGAAGAATAGTCGGTAAAATACTATTATCATCCCTAATACACATATTATGTAACTCTTAAAATAATTTCTCTGCGAGTAGACTATTTCATCATTACATCATTTTCATTAGGATGATCAAAAAATTGTCGACATCGTCACATTTTTGTAGCGTTGATCGAAAATGACTTGGAAGGCTTGATGTAATCTATCAATAAAAGAATAATATTTCTAAAGTAATAATTTTGCCTTGTCTCGAAATTTTTATTTTGTAGAGGTTTTACAGCGTTGTACAACAAATATTCCCATAGCCATTATTTATAGTAACTAACTTACCCTTATCGCATAGAATACCCAGATTCCACACTGGAATTCCCTGCAAGGCTCTATTCGACCACATAGCCTTGCACGCTATGCGACCGCATAGAGATAGGATTTTCTTATCTCTTGCGCTTTGGTCCTTGCACTTTGTTTCCTCCATTTCTCGACTTTTTTCTAAATTTTCTTGTTCCAATACAAAGGTCACATGTTCAATTTGATCGTGTCCTCTTCACTTCTTCACTTTCTCTTCCGGTTCATCTTTTGAATGTTTGCAACTTAGTCCCCAAACTTTTATTCTTCATTTTGGCCCATTTTCTCTATTTTTCCTTCACTTTCCACCACATTCACCACTATTGACCTGCAAACACAACTTATAACGAATTAAGCTATGTTTCACCCATTAACCGATAGATATTCATGCTTATGAATCAATATAGACGTGTAAAATACACTCTTATCATATATTATCCTAATAGTAATGCTTAATCAATAGAGAGAATTGTAGGAAAAACAGGTGGAAACAATGGAATCTATGCAAATCAGAAGGGAAGGAAGAAGGGTGGTGTTCAAGAGCATATTCTGCCACAATTACCCAGCCAGGTTATTGTTCCATAAATACAAAAAATGAACTTTTAAAATAAAAAAAAATTGTCAAAAAATT